AGGCACTGCTAATGTTACTATCAGTTATTACCTTCATTTATGATAAAAGTGAATTTAAATATTATAGTTAATGAAAATAAGAATGTAAGAGTTTCCATTGAAATTTACAGACCTCTGAATTCTATTCATATTTTTCTGCTTTAATTGAGTTTATTGGTACATTTTAGGGATACAGTATCTCCCCGACTGAATTCTATTCATAACCCCTATGAACTCCTGAGATAAAATCCTGTGCAAGACCTGATTATAGAACATATAGATTACACAAGAAGAAAGGATCCAACTCTGCCAAAGAGAAATGCATCCTTTGGCTTATCTCAGATTTTGGAGGTCCTACAACCTCTGAATCCTTGTCTACTTTCTAAGCATTTGGAGTCCTCCCTGCCTCTGCTCTGGCTGGACATAGCCAGAGTACACAAAACAAGGACATGGGCAAGTGTCCTATGGCTGGAAAAGGTGACAAGCAGCTCCATCGAGAAAACAGATGAGACAACAAACAGCTCATCTATTGCAAGCTGCCTGGTACCAACTAAGGTTCCATCACTATAAACCCAGTGCACCCACCAAAATCAGGATGTTTCTTAGGTTCCAGTTGTTGGATGTGGGTTTTATTGTATTGTTTGATAACCATAGCATTTTGAAGTTGTTTTAGCTCCCTAAAAGAGCTCTTCATGTATTCTGAATAAGCAATGTTGGGGTGGGCAAAGGGTCAGGCTGTGTGCTTTCTAGAGCTCTTCTAACACCAGGACTCTTTCTGTATGAATCCGAAGGCAGTGTTTTGCTGGCCTTCTGTCCCTCTGTAATCTGACAGGGTAGCTATGGAGAGAGTTTGATCCTCTTTCTATGTTGTCTTTGAGCTGGCTCTGGACTCTTGTATCCACAGCAAAATGTGTTTTGTATACTGAGAAACTATTAAAATAAATAGCAGATACTCTAATTAAAATATAAACATTGAAGTAATTGAAAATTAATTAAAATAATTATTATTTTACATACTCCTCCCCATCAGACTATAAACTCCACTGGTGTGCAGTGTCGTAGACATTGACGGTACCCTTTTTCTCTGGGCACCCACCATTCCCACACATTCCAGTGGGCTCTAACTACAAGGCAGGTCAGAATCCGAGTCAATGCCCCAAAGTATCTGTCAGTGATGATGGCAGTAAGTGCCATCTTTTCTCCACTCCCTCAGGGGGCAGTTCTGAGGTGTGCTCTATGTTGTCTCCAGAGGACAGAGCCCCAAACAGAATTCTGTGACTGGCTTGCTACAGAGCCCAAAGCTGAGCTCCATACCAAAGCCTTTAATAGAACTCTCAGCTGTGTTACTAACCAGACCGTTACACACCATTTGGCTGCATATTCTAAAGGTCCTTCTTGATTACAAAGTGCCAGGTAAGTCATAATCTACACAAATTCTCTGGATCAGCAAACTTTCCATGTGCTTGTGACAACGCTGTTTACTGCTGGGGCTTCTCCTGGGGAGTGGGGTACAGAAAAAGGTAAGGCATATTTATTTCCACTAAAACACAGTCTCCTATAGGTGGTATCTTCCAGTTATGCTGCTAGGAGCAAAAAAGGCTTATAGGGTAACTCAGTAGTTTAACTCAGGGGTAGAGCACTTGACTAACATACATAAGGCCTTGAGTTCAAACCCCAGAACTTCCAAAAAAAAAAAAAAGACTCATGAACTCAGGATCCCCAAGATGATTCTGCCGTTGCCTTGAAACATTTGTTATACCTTCTGGGCAGGAGCTGAAGCTCTGAGCACAGGACCTAGGAGTGCAGCCTTTGCCAAGCAACTTCACCTCCCTGGGGTTTAATTTCTGCTTTGTAAAGGGAGATCTCTGTATTTTTCTCAACAGTTCATTTGATTCTTTTTTTCCCTGAGAATTAAAAAGGGCCCAGCCTAGTTGTAGCATGTTTTAAATGTGTGTTAAACCTAAATCCTGAGAAAGAGAACAGAGGGAGACTTAATGTTCTTTTATGCTTTTTCTGACATGAAATACAAAAGTTCCCTTTAATTCAAGCCTTCAAAATGTTCAGGCTGGCTCACTGACTGCCTCCCAGTGAGGATTCTCCCATCCCGTCACAGCCAGAAATCACCCAGCCCCCAAAGGGACACGCTAGGAATCAACCGCAGAAGGGCAAATTAATTAACCTCAACTGGGGAACATGGGGCCCGTGAACTGCAGGGACAACAAACGGTTGCTATACAAAGTGTGTTTGGTAAATAAATGAGCCAAAAGTGGCCTTTATGTATTGCTTGTTTATTTCTTTATTGCAAGCTGAGAACTCTTAGCTCATAAGGCTGCAAAACTCATATTTTTGCACAACCAATCACTTCTAAATAGAGCAAACAAGTAAATGCTTAGCCATTTAGAGCCTGTCCGTTTTGCCTGAAAGCTTACCTAGCAGCTGTTACCCACTTGTAAGATCAGGCCTTGTAGTTCTAAGACCCAGGAACACACAGTCTCTAGAAGGTCTCCGAAGCCAGACTCCTTCAGTGCCCCCACTCTTGTGCTGCTGAACTTCACCTACACACATGCACCCTTCCTCCCCAGGAGTCCCCTGCCCTTCTCTCCTGTCAAGGGGTCCCTGTGCTATGAGCCTCCACCCAGACAGTCTCATACTCTGAGGGGTTTCTTTTCCCGCATAATGTGGGCTGATTCCCACCTAATAAAGCTTGTTGCATCCTTCAGACCCTATAGCAGTGGTGGTGAACCTATGGTCCACATGCTGGAGCAGGCTACTTGTTACCATCACTGCTCTATAGGATTCCCTGGAAACTGTTTAGCAATGAAGTAGGTTGGGTCCCACGACCAGATCTACTGAACCAGACTTGGCATGCACAGTTTGCACTGTGCAGCTCAAGATTCATGTGCATACTGCAACTAAAGGAGCCCTGGGCTGTGAGACTTTCATCTTGGGATCCCTGTGGTAGCCGAGCACAATGCATTTGAAGGGACTTGCTTGATAGAGACATCAACCACCATTCGGGCTGCTCTCAGCCTTTATGAGTGGCTAGCAGTCCGTTTCACTGATCCTTTCCTGCTTTTCTCATAGTCTATTAAGTAGGCAGCTATGAAGGTTGCCAGGTAAACCTACTCACACACAAAAAACCCTTATGCTGCACTGGACTGTGGCCACACACACAGTGCAGTAGATGTGCAGATATATGACAATCAGACGCCTGCCCCTGAAGCAGGTCACATTCACAGAGGCATTTGCAAAGCAGGGAAAGCCCCCTATACTCCTGCTCTGGGGAATGAGGTTGGAGGGCTGGAACCAGAAAAAATATCCCAAGAGGGATGAGATTCCAGTAAATGGACTATAAAGATCTTTTACAAAACATAATAGGAGGCAGGTGCTGAGAGGCACAGGCAGGAGGAGCTAGCAACAAAGGAACCGCTTCCCTCAAAGGCAGAGGACTCAGTGAATGATTTTGAATGAAGTCAGCCTCCTCCCAGGAGTGTGCAGGCTTGGGCCCCGGGGCACCAGACAGGAGAGAACAACCCAGTTATCAGTCGGGAAAGCCAGAATAACACAAGTGCAATTTGCTTATGTTTGCTAGAGCTTGCATTTAGGAAATTATGCATGTCTGCAAACACCCTATGGCTATCAGCAATTTCACTAGGTAGCACCCTGAATTGAATAAAAATTGCTTTTAAAACAAGAGAGCATTAATTCTACATGGTAAATTTTGCCAATTTTTAGCAATAGTCCTAATTCAGTACTTACTTATTCTTTGTACACAATTTTAAGTATCCATGAGATTTGATTTCTCAGTTCACAGACAACTACAAGCAATGACTTGGAAATAGTTCAGAATGGGTTGTGGTGGTGTAAGGAATGAGGAAAAGCATCAATTCTAACACTAGTAGTACCAAAATGTAAGGAAGTATCTAATAAAAGCAGGTCACCAAAACACAAAGAACATTAAAATACACCTATAGGCAAAAAAGCATTTGTGGCAGGGGTCTGGGGGAACTGATACAACTACACAGTTTGATATTTTCATTATCAATTCATGAACATCAAGAGCCATAATCAAATCACATTTAAGTACATATAATATTTTGAGTTTAAGAATGACACCGTTAAGCTTTATAAATACTCAAAATATTTCAAAGTAAAAGATTTTAAAAAGTAGAAGCTAAGGATGTAGCTCAGTGCAAAGGCCCTTCATTCAATACCCCAGTCCTCAGTACTGAGAGAGGAAAAAAAACAAGCATCCGAATGGAATACCCCATCCTTCCTTGAAAACAGATTAAGTGTGACATCGTTTTACTGAGCGTTTTACATTCTGATTTGTCTGGCATACACACACCTGAAAATCTCTGTTCATTGACTCTATAGTTTCAGAATATGAATTTAGCTGAAGCTAACCCTTATATGTGCAGCAGGACTGGCCCTGTGTTGGGTGCTAATAATACAGAGATTAAAGAAGAACCAAGCCTGTCTCTCAAGGACAAGTTCAATTAGAGATTCTCAAATGCTTCAGAATAATCACAGGATGGTAACAGGTACACTGCATTTGGAAGAGGTTGAGCAGAAGATGTAGCTTATAAAAGCTGGAAACCTTGGGCAACAGTGGTGGGCAGCACAGACAGGGACTTTCTGATAACTTTGTATTTCAAATAGTTGTATTCAGCTGGAGATCCCCAACCCAAAGTCAGGCACATGCAAAGCAATCAGGATCGCTTCATGAGAAATACACAGACCATCAAACTGTCTAATAATTCCTCTGTGCAAAGAAGGGAGGAGAGAGAGAAGAAAGGAATGGGATAAAGGAAGAAGGGAGGAAAGAGAGAGCTAGCCACTGAGGAAAGTGCATGCATTCAATTTGGTGCTTTTTTAGCCTTTGAAAACTGTTACAGAGGGAGCCAGTATCATTTAAGCCCAGGGAAATCCAAGCAGTGACATCCTGGGATGCTGGCACAATCCCTGCCCCACCCTTACAATCAGCCATTCCTTCTCCCTTCCTCATGCCCTCCCCTTACCTTCACTGAAGACAAAATCTGAGATGATGTCAAAGGGTTGAATGTGGACTGCAGACAGGATCATGGTGACAGTCTTCTGGGGATCACTGGAGGCCAGAGAGATGGTTTGCTGAGCTTGACACTCATAGGACTTCCCACCTGGGGTCACCAATGCAGAGAGGCGATGCGAGTTGGCTGTGTGCTTTCCAGCTGCAGCAAAGGCCCAAGGCAGCGGTTAGACTTCTCTTGCTGGTAAAACCTTCCCTTCTCCTAAGCCCTATGCCTCACAAGGTTCAGCTCAGCTCAGACACCCACGCCACCCTCCCCATCCCCTGTTGCTAGGCCAGAGCTGGGCCTCTGCAAATGGAATCCAGTGACAGTCACAAAGGACAAACACATCCAATCTCTCTGAGCCAGAGATCCTTACATACTACTTTAGAATTTCTTTTTGAAAGAGATTAAAATGTAAAAACTCACATCTTTTTACTATGTATAACCTGACAATTGAGATTCTAAAGACACAGAAGGACAGGAACACGGTTTTTTACCTTTAACATTGGATCAGCAAACAATAAAACATCTCCCTCAACAAAATATGGCTGCTTGCTGGTGCTCTGGCGAATGTCCTTGCATAAACACACGTTTTGGACAGCTGCGCCCTTTTCTCTTTCTCTGGCCCAGGTTCGCTTTCTCCTCTCCTTTGTTCTAACTAAACTAGGGGAAATGCTTGACTAGGAAGAGAAAATGCTTTTTTAACTACAGCAAAAATAAAGGGGGGTGATGAAAAAGGAAAGATGACACATGTATTCCTCGATGATGTCATCAGTAAAAATTCTCTCCCAACTCACTCAGGTGCCTGTCTGGGTGATAGAAGTCCTCATTTTAAGAGAAACAATTTACCCCCCCACCAAAGTAATGAAATATGGCCTTTGGTAGCACTTCAAGAAAGGCATGTTTTTATTTAGGGGATGGATATTCCCCTTGCCATAGTATTTTGGATATTTGTGAAAGATATGGATGAGTTGATGGAGGGATGGGCAGGAAAAGTTAATCACTGACATAGGGTATAGGATCTGCTCTGAGATGACGGCAGTCCATGACTGGAGATACAGATGAACCATGCCACACACACACAAAAAAAAAAAATACCAAAGGCTATCCAATCCTGACACAGAAGGAAAGTCACATTGTCCCATTGTATTTTTAGCACCTGAACAGAAAACCTATGGAGCAGAGGAAAATATAAAAAGCTTTGCCCTTCTCTGTGTTCCTTCCAAGGCCAAATTCTGAGGTCCTTATGAAGAGTCAGGAGAAAACAAGCCCTCGGGATGTCTCATCTGGATCAGACCCTGGGTGACTGACTCATCCTAGCCAGGAATTTCCTTGCATCTCCAAGGCTTGAGACCTTAGGGCTTAGGGCCTCTCTTCCTCCTCCACTCTGGAGGGCAAGGCAAACAGATCAATGTTCTCTCAACTGACCTAGGAGCCAGCGTTCAGACTGATTTCCAAATCCCACAGGAACTGTCCAGCTCCTGGGCTTCCCTCCCTCCCGAGCCCTGCAGGACTCCACTCACCACTGACTGCATCTTTAAAGTGAGTCTTCTCAGAGGAGTCGTAAACAAACTGCACCTTGCTCAGCCTCCACGTGGCCTCCGGTCCCTTGGAGGTGTTGTGGCTTTCCTGCCAAGAGCAGGAGGCTTGTCAGCCTCTCCCACGTCTTCTCCTTCTGTAAACCCAGTCGCCACTACTTCCCTCATCCACCCGGGGTCCAAGGCCCTTCCTTCTGCTCGCCGGCGCTAAAGGCAGGGAGTTACCTTTACAAAGAGCATTTTGAGTGCGTAGGCGCGATCCACCCAGAACACCTGCAGCTCCGATTCATTGTGGCCACAACGGCCCTCCACCTCGGCTCCCCTGGTCAGCGCGATGTCAGCCTGTTCTGTGATCAGCTGGGAACACAGACGCCCGCGGCCCCTCAGCGCGCTGGGCCCTGTGGGGCTTGGGGCCGAGCGTCCAAACTCAGGGTTTCCTGTTTGGGCGCTCCTTTGTGCGCGCGCACTCTCCCAGGTCCAGGAACATGCGGTTAGATTCTCTACGTGCAGACCCGCGTAGGGAAGCAGAGAGAGGGGGATTTGTTTTCAAAGCAGGCAGGGTGAGCAGGAGACGTTATAAGCCGAACCCCCATGCAGCATTCGGGAACAGCCTGCAGGGGTGTAGGGGAGAAGGCAGGTGACCCAAGGTCTTCGCAGGGCCCGGTGGAGGGTGCCTTTGCACCCTGGAGCCCTAGGAGCAAGCTGGGGGAGGGGGGAGATTCCTTACATCGACGTAATTGCTGGCCCACACATCATACGGTACAATAAATTTGGCTGCAAACTCTGCCATGAGACACGTCGTCCCGTTTTCCCGCACCACAAAAATATCTTTTTCAGGGTTAGTGGAAAGGCCTGAGAGATTTTCCACTTCTTGTTCTGCCATAACTTGAGCCATTATGTCTGCGAAACAAAACAATCCAGTGAGTTTGGGGCTCAGGGAGGCCCCGCATCCAGGACACAAGAGCCCGTGGTCCTCTGGCTTTGGAGTGGCAAAGTTGCACGCTAGCAGCTGTGTGCCCTGCAAGTCATTTCGCTAACCCAGGGCTATCAAACTCAGCTCCTCTGCTGTTAATTTATAATGGAAACAGAATTGCAAAGCAGTCCCTATTTGTAAGGCTACTTCCTGGGGGCTCAAAACCAAATCTTTATTGCCCATGCTGTGGCCCCCCCAACCCCAACCCAGCCTGCCAGTCTAGCGCTGCCTGGGATATGCCACACAGGTGTGTGACTCTCAGGGGACTTCCTCGTCATCGGTGGGGGAAAACCTCCCCCACCTCCAAAAGGGGGGAACCCCGCAAAACGTGAAGACAAAGACCATTTCTTCAACCTCAAACTACTGGATTTGCAGGCGAAAAGTACAAGCCTCCCTCTGAGCCGCCAGAACGCTACTCACTGAACAGCACGAGGATAACTGGAAGTCTGTCAACCTGGAAAAGGGCTCTTCCTCGGAGATCCATGCTCTCACTTGCCGCCAGCGGAGCCAGAAGTGATGCTGCAGAGGCGGCCCGGGAGGGAATCCCTCAAAGACGCCGCTGGAGTGGGCCGGAGTGAGCGCAGGGCGGGGGCCGGGGCGGGAGCGGGAGGGAGCGCGTGTCCGGTGCGCGCGGGCTGGGACTCGTGTCCCTGCCGCACCGGCACCGCTGGCTCAGCGAGTCAGCTCACTGCGGAGAAAAGGGGCCAGCGGAGATGAAGCTGTCCGCAGCTGGGAGTGCTGAAAGGAAGCCGGTTGTGTTGCAGGCGTGATTGTGACTTGGCTTGCGTGGAAGGCCAATGAGATTTGGGGGAGCTTAAATTCTGCCTGGGTCTGTTTTCTGTTCTGTAATTGTATCTGCAAAGGTGAGTCTGTCCTGAGAAACTTAACGGCACCTGAGACCAGCTATTCTGTGGTGTATGTATGTGTGTGTATATATAATCACTGGAGTCCTGAATTCTAAAAATGCATCGGGTTCCTGAAAAAACAAAAACAAAAACAAAAACAAACAAACAAAAAAGAGCACGAATTGTGCCTGCTTTCGAGGAGGAGGAGGAGGGGTTGGCAGAACAGAAAAGGAAAATGCTATGGCAACAGTTTCCTGCATTTGAGACATCAGCTTCTAGGCTCTGTCTGCTTTCTCTGAGCTCCTGGGTTTGTAGTTAAATTGATGCCTCCTCATACCGGGCCATCAGACAACGCAGTGTATCCATTTGGAGTGATTGTCCTGAAAGTTCTGCTCCGAGTGGGTGAGGACTCTAATTCTAGGGTCATCTATCCTCCCTCTTTATATTGTGGTCACTCTGCCAGGAGGGATGTAAATGAATCTGAAATTTATAAGGTTATCCAGTCTTTTAGGGTAGGAATTTTAGAAGTATGCTCTAAATAATGTCACATAATTATATAAAAAAATACACACTGATATTACTGTAAAACCTCTAGTGAAACAGAAAAACAAATATTACTGCGATAATTCCCACACATATTTTTTATTTGCTTACTTTTTATTTGCGCATTATGAATCAGAATACACTTCTTTCAGGAATAGATATGATGTCCTTATTAATTGTGGTTATTCTCAATATTTCTTTTCTTAGAGGACTCTTTTTGTGTGAATAAATAGCCATTGCCTCAGAAACATAATGTCAAAAAACAATGTCATGTTAAAGAGGGAACTGCAAAGTGTTTTCGTCTTCATTGTTTAATTTGATCCTCCCCACAACTTTAGAAAGCAAGGAACATACATGTTATTGTGTTTATACATATACCCGTACTGAGGCTCCAGGAAATTAAATGACCTTCCCAAGTGTCACATGGCCATTTGGAATTAAAATGGAAAAATCACATGCTTTCACTTTGTACAGGATATCTTCATTTCTCCTTATATAATATTTTAACTCTAAAATATGTCATATTTTGACTTCTATAAAAATCTTTTTTTCAATGACCAAATAACAATCTGAGGTCTAAAATCTCTATCAATAACTTGCATTCCTGAAATGTATATTATGATATATTTACATCAAGATGTCTGTAATTTTTTGCCTTTCAAGCGTATTGCTGTATCAATAACTAGGTCATTAGCAATTCAAACTATGAAGCAATATTTAAACATTTTTACATCTGTATTTCAGCATTTCATCCAAAAATTTCTCCAAAATTTTACATGATTATATATGAAAAAATTGAAGTAAAACTGTAATTGATATTCATATGAATATATTCAATTCATATGAACTGAGAGTGAAAATGGTAAAATTTCTAAACTTTACATCTTGTCATGTTAGCAATGAAGATTTCATTTTCTCATAGTACTGTAAAAATTATAAAGGCATGTATATATAATTATAAAATAAATTTATCACTCTCTTTCCAACCCCACAACTTTAATAAAGAAAGAAATAGATTTCAGTCTATAATTCAGTATTTATCAATTTTGTGAATTTGTACATATTTTAGTTTCCCTGTCTAAAACATGGGATAATGCCTAAAGAATGGATAGTTAGGTCAAATAAGTCAATAAACATAAAAACCTTTGAAACAAAATACAAATTAATGTACCCATAAACATTAATTGAATATCTACTACTTGCATTATGCTTAGTGCTTTGGAAGCAATTGATAAATCAATATCCTTACATAAGTAGGAGAGAGGCTTGTGAAAGATTGTGGCTATTACTTTTGTGATATGTTATTGCAAATATCTTTACCTTATAGGTTGTTAATACATTGACTGATTTAATTCATCTACTGATCATTGATCTTAATGTGATAGTCGGTTTACAAATCTTATGGTGGTTTCTTTGGAAAAAGTCTATTTTCATGCCTTAAACAAATGACTCTTTGTTGACACTAGAGAGAATTCAAATGAGTTGAAAGAAAATATGGAGCAATTTTAACCCTTTCTTTCTGGGAGGGTTTTATCTTCAAGGCATAATTAATTCAATGTCATTTTTTGGTATTTGATTGGAAACTTGGCTTACACTTATAAATATCTATTAATTTATTGAACTTATAACAGTTATTCTTATCTGTGATTGTAATTGGATCAGTAAATCTACAACTACATTAACTTAAAGACTTTGAATCATTCTGGAAAAAAATAGTCTTTTCCTTAAGGAAAGCAGGTGATAAAAGAAAAAGAAACCTTACTAATAAATCATACTTCAGCATATGAACAAAGTGCCCCAGCATTTGATGCAGCCCTAATTGCTCAGGTATGAGAAGGTAGGAGAAGTTGATATAAATGCACACATTTGTGTGAATGCTGGCTGTGTCAGTTGTCATCATTATTGCTGGGGTTCCTATAATATGTCAGGTATAAGTGCGACCCAGACACATTGGATTTGGCGACTCCTGTAGATCTTTTATGTCCTCCAAAGGATGCTCATCAACTCACACATTCACTTATTGAATTCGCCCTTTATGAATCTCATGACATCAGATGATTACTATTTTATACAAGTGAAAGAAAAAGCCCAAGCACAGCATTTCCAGTTTGGATGGGAGAAATTAAGAACATACATGAATATGTGGTATAATCTGGTACAATGTGCACATAGATATTTAGGGGAGAAAAAGTAAGCCAGCCATCCCAGAAGGGAGGGTAGAATTGACAAAGATGGCCTCTTGGAGAAGGCGGATCTTGAAAGAAGGGAACAAATTAAATTAACCTGGGACAGAAGACAAGGAAAGGCAATACAGATAGAAGAAATATCTTTTGACTAGAGAAATCAATGCAAAGAAGCAACTCTACCTTTTCATGTTTACCAATTTGCAATAAAGTAGGAATTAGGCCTCAAAATCCACAATGTTTTATATACTAATAACCTCTATGTGATTTCTTTCTTTGGTAGTGTAACCACATATGGCATAGCCAAAAGAATGGCATGTGCAAAACTTACTCTAAATAAAATTAAACTTTTCAGTTAGGTACCTCTCTTTATACAATTGGTTTATATTTGTAGAATTGAGAGACAAAAGTATGAAAATCAATAAACAAATACTAATTAGAAAAGCTTCAAAAGGAGGAGACTGGGCATTGTTACAGTAGAAATTTGATTGCTGGGATTTGAGTCTACTTTATTTGTGTAGTGTAAAAATGTACTGTCTCTCAGCCATCTGTCCCTACCATCACCAAAGCCACCTCACCATACACACGGGGGGGGGCGGTATTCATGAATAGTGGAAGCAGAAGTCAGTCTGCTGAAACAAAGAAGATGCTCACAGTTCTTAAGCCAGAATTGCTAGTTACCAGTGTCTTTCACTGAGTTCAGATTACTGTGGAACAACTGTTCTATTTCACCATTCTCTTTGAGTACCTTTGAAATCATTTCTAGGATAAAAACAGTTTGGAGACAGGAATTAAAAACCATACAAAAATATTTTGTGTATATTGTCAAATGCTAGAATATTGGGAAAAGTTCTAAGAATTGAGTGTGGATTTTTGGATGCACTTAGTTGGTATGACCTCATTGTAATTTCCTTTTTGTTATTATTTCTTTGGTTTCCTCCATATTTCATTCAATGAAATAAAGGCTGTCTTTGCAAAGAGGGTAATCAGTGGAGGAAAAAAAGACACCAGAACAATGGTCCTTTCAATGGCTATATTCCTTTGAAGTACCAAAGAGAAGACCAGTATGAATTCATTTAAAACAAATAATTTAAACACAGAGGAATGTAGGGGAAGAGGCCCTTTTAGCAAATCCCTGATAAGTGGATAGTGAGAGGTCAGGTAGTCTTTCACCACAGGTTTGGTAGCTAAGAAATAAGTTTTATAATTTAAACCAGTAATTTGGTAACTGCTCCTGTCAGTTTCAAGGATTCAGTTGTCACTGCTTTAAACCGTAACATTTTAGAACAATCCACTTTTATTCTTAGCAGTGAGGAAAACCTTGTTAAATAGGGGCAGATGATGATTTTTCTTTTTTAAAAATTATTTAATTTTTCTTTCAAGAAACAACTACACTATGGACCTACAGTTAGACAAGTTGAAGTTCATATAAAATAGTTTCCTGCCTGAATTCTTATGATGTGTCCCAGCAGTCCCTTATCTGCTTTAGTTATTATTTTAATTGTGTATCTTGGGTAGTTTAAATATTGATTTGAAGATGTTTGGAAAATACATAGTACTGATGGGAGAGGGGAGCAGCCCTGAGAGCCTGGTTCTGACAGAAGCATCTCGGGTGCAGCAGTTGGAGGGTCCAGCGTGATCCAGGTTGCAAGTCTGTGACTTTTCTGTTTTTGTTACAACATTGCAAGGTGGTCTAGTAACAAAGTCAAAAGGAGAGTCTACAGCAAGCTTTTCTAATGGATGCCTTCAGGACTGAAGGTCCCATGTCTGAGGACGTGTAGTACAGACGTAACTGAGCATTTCCTGGAAGGAGGAAAATATGTAGAATTCCATTATTAAAATGCAATAGTGAACTTGCAAGAAGTGTGTTCTGATCCAAGTTAGGAGAGTACAGCATTACCTGGGAACTGTGGGGTGCTAGGTGGGCCCTAATGCTCAGGGTGCTTGGGCTAGGAGTATGAACAGGACCCTCACCCCAGGGCACCTTCCAGAGCTCC